GGGAACCGGTCTGTATGTGGGATCCGAACCCTCGGAGGGAGCGCCGCCGCGCTCCAAGCGGCGCACTCTCCAGTGCGCCACCGGGCGGGCCCAGAAACCCTATTTTTTAAGAGACCAAGGTAAATTCCATTTTAACAATTAGTTATTGTACTGCTGCTATGTTTAAAGCTAAACCCATGGCCAGACATAAAAGGGAAACCACAGAGATGAATTCAATATAGTGTCTGTCTCTAAGGAGTTTATAATCTATTAGGGAAAAATGAACTATGCTCGTAATTAACATAATTAGCATGAGTAGAATTAGAGAAGAACTGTAGGAAGGGCACATGAATTAAATAGCAACGGGAGAGTCAAGGAGGAGATGCAGGAAGAACCAGGGAATAGTTTGTGGAGGAGGCAGCCCTTGAGCTGGGAACTGAAGGGTGCATGTGACTGACAGGTAGATGGGCTGAGGGTGTCTCCAGTCAGCCTGTATGTATGGTAGCCAGGTCTCATGAGCCACCTGGGAGGCTGGTGGAGATGGCTTTAAGAGGCAAGTGCCATGAGAGCATCGCATGTGAAACTTAATGGCCAGCCCTAGGTCGAACAGGAAAGAGCGTTGTCTAACCTTGCCTGTGCCTAGTGGAGCCCATTCCTCACCAAGAGCATGCGTCTTAGCTACTGAGGAACGTGTGTCCCCCAGGCAGAGGGGAAGCCACAGAAGGTAGAGTTGCATGCCTGGACCTTGATGATTCAGAACATTTGGCCTAACAAGTAAACCTGTAAATGTGGGGTCCTTTCAAGATTTTTAAAAACAAACAACCTAAGCAGTTCACTGACTTTCTTCTCCTGAGAGTCCACTCTGAGTGACCTGTACTAGAAGCTGAAGCCTTGAAAAGATCCAAAGTGGAGTGGCCAGAAAGACCATTCTGCTGCGGAGGCGGAGCAGAGAAAGGCAGTGTATCCGTCTTCCCCAGTTTTAACTTGTTGACAATTTCTCCTTCAGTACTGTCTTTGGGGCCACCGTAGCAGTCTAGGCAGGGGTCTGCTTTTCCAGAGGCTTTAAGAAGCAGAAGCCACCTTTGGTCCCCATCACTTCAGCTCCACAGCTGCTCTCCCACTCCTAAGACTGTTATGGCAAGAAAGGCACTCAGCCCTGTGTCTCTTGTAGATGGTGGTGCTCTGCTTTGTAGGCATATGCGGAATGGTTGGGAAGCTTGGCCTGGCATTTTCTTCCTGAAATGGAAAGTCCTGTAGTGAGTAGGAAAATGTCACAAAACCCAGATTCGAGTCCTCTTTCCACCTGATAATGCTACTGCTGTGGAGGATCACTGACTCAATTTCCTGTTTTACAAAATGAGGACAATAGTACTTTCCCAAGGTTTTGTGAAGATCAAATAAGATAAAGTTATATGAAAGTTTTTTATTAGTAATAAAATGCTCGGTGCATGTGAGATATTATTAGTACTAAGAAAATTTCCTGTAAATACTTTCTGTGCTTTCTCTTTTTCCAACTTCAGACATTTGAGATCATTTGCTCAGTCTTTGTCCCAGTTACCTTGGTCTGTTCCAGGACCTGATTCTTCCTTCTTAGTTCCTACCCTCCTTTACCTTGGAAGGCTGGATTGGAAGAAAAAGCTAGGGACCTGAGAAATTAGGCTAATGCTTATGCTTGGAGCTCTTGGCTTCTTCCCTTACCCCAGACCTAGTGCCATGGCAGTGAAGCCCCATGTCGTGCAGGTCTCTCTCTCCTTTTTTTTTTTTTTGTGACCGGTAAGGGGGTTGCAACCCTTGGCTTGGTGTCACCCGCACCGTGCTCAGCCAGTGAGCACACCCGGTCATCCCTATATAGGATCCGAACCTGTGGCGAGAGCGCCGCTGTGCACCCAAGCGCCGCACTCTCCCGCGTGCGCCATGGGGCCGGCCCAAGGTCTCTCTCTCTATAAGGCCACCCAGTCTAGGATCCTAGCTGTGTCTCTGCCATCCAGCTGGGTGACATGGGAGGCCCAAGAAACCAAAGGACGACGGGTCTGGTTAGATGCTCTTCCTAACCTGATACCTCCTGCAGGTCCTTCTCCACTTACTGACCTGTGGTTAGAAGACCTGCATTTGGTTAATGGGACTTGATCTGTTCTGCCTCTTAAGTCAACTTCCTCTCAGCTCCAGTGGAGATATTCCCTATTCTTCCTTTCATACCGTTCCCAGCTCTTCCTCCCTGGGCCCAAATAGACAAGCCATCTGGATATTCTGCCCTAGTACGTAAAAACCTCAGCTCTCTCCAAAATTAGTG